GGGTTGGGAAACATATTAAGAATACTAATAATACAAAATAATTACCCTGGCGACGTACCCAACCCCTGCGCAACAGCGGGGCGCAAATAGTTTAGGATATTTTATAAAGGGGGCGATGACGGAGCGAGGGTTACATATGTCTGCAGACGGAATTCGGGAGACTCGCAGGACACTGGCTACAGGAAAAGGGCTTGATAAAGCTGATGATTTACAATTCCTGAGCACTCCTAGCCACTTCGAAAACGGGGATCACAGCAGGCCTCGAAAGTGGCGACAGGTTCACAGATCGCAGCCCCGCAGGGACGGCGAGGTCTCATTTGAATCTGCCCGTGGCCCTCACTGTGCTGGGCCCCCCAGCAGGCCTCGAAAATGGCGGCAGTTTCGCAGATCGCAGCCCCCCAGGGATGGCGAGGTCTAATTTGAATCCGCGCGTGGCCCTCACTGTGCTGGGCCCCCCAGCAGGCCTCGAAAGTGGCGACAGTTTCACAGATCGCAGCCCCCCAGGGAGGGCGAGGTCTAATTTGGATCTGCCGCGATTACCCTCTATGCTGGACCCCCCGGCAGGCCTCGAAAGTGGCGACAGTTTCACAGATCGCAGCCCCCCCCCCAGGGATGGCGAGGTCTAATTTGAATCTGCCGCGATTGCCCTCTATGCTGAGCCCCCCAGCAGGCCTCGAAAGTGGCGACAGTTTCACAGATCGCAGCCCCCCAGGGATGGCGAGGTCTAATTTGGATCTGCCGCGATTGCCCTCTATGCTGGACCCCCCAGCAGGCCTCGAAACTGGCGACAGTTTCACAGCCCCCCGCAGGCAAGACAGAAAGAGGCAGGAAAGAGGCGGGAGGCGGGAGGAGGAAGGACGCGACCACACTGCTCTATTCAAAACGAATACCCAACCAAGGAGGGTTGGGAAACAAAAATGTTTTTAATTTTTTGTTCCTCCTCCCCGCCCTCGGAAGCGGAGTTGTTTTCTTCTTTTTCCATGTGAAACCAAAGTTTTTTTTCATATTTTTCATGTTTTTCGCTCTCCCGTTCGGCCCCTCGGGGTTTCCCCGCCGCCCCAGGGGGTGCCCGAAAAAGAGGAAAAAGAAAAATAGGAAAACACTTGTGTTTTCACAGGGAAAAAAGAGGAACAAACTCCGCCTCCGAGGGCGGGGAGGCGGAAACAATGAAAAAACACCCTCCTCCGTCTCCTCCGCCTACTCCTCTCCCCCCTACTCCTCTCCCCCCCCTCTGGTATCATACCATTCGCCGTTCGCAGTCGCCGTTCGCAGAACGGCGAATGGTATGATACCAGGGGGGGCGACCATATGTATGTATGTATATATATATATGGAGAGAGAGAGAGAGAGAGAGAGAGAGAGAGAGAGAGAGAGAGAGAGAAAAAAAGAAAGAAAGGAACAGAGAAAAGGAGAGAGAGAGAGAGAGAGAGACGAGAGAGAGAGAGAGAGAACATATATATACATATATATATATATAGAGAGAGAGAGAGAGAGAGAGAGAGAGAGAGAGAGAGAGAGAGAGAGAGAGAGAGAGAGAGAGAGAGAGAGAGAGAGAGAGATAGAGAGAGAAAACGAGAGACATGGGCCGCCTACTCAGGGCGAGGAAGACGAGATCGGGTTGGTCTTCGGAGCCCCTCCGACACGTCGTCCTTAGCACGCGTTCTTAGCCTGTAACAGGTAGCGGTCACCGCTGGCGTGCTCTCGATGGCCAACATCTTCTTCTGTAGTCAACATCGGCATGAAGACCCAGGAGACAGCGCTGAGCATGCTGGAGGAGGTCGGGAAGGCGTTCCCCTCGATGGCGGGCGCGACGGCCCATGACTTCGATGCGTGGTCAGGCTCGTTTCCCGAAGCAGTCGCTGGAGGGTCATGGGTAGTCATCGCGGTGGGCGTGTGCATCGCAACAGTGCTGATGGTCGAAGCCTCTCCGTTCGCCTGGTTCGTTGATGCACGAGGTTCACGAGACTCTCCGTGGCCAGGGTCATCCGCGAATGGGTTGCAGGCCTGACGGGCGGGCAGAGAGCCAGCGCGAGCCGCTCGGGCCAGGCGTCGGATCGCTTGGCGCCTCGGGCCCGAGAGCCGGCCGCGACCCCGAGGAACGCGAAGGTGAGACTCGCCGACGGAGCCGGGGGCTCGAGGGGCCGCGGGGCGCGCGATCGAGTGGCGCGCCAGGAGACCCCGAAGAGCTGGAGTAGGCGTGCTCTAGGGCCGCCTGTCTCCCGAGGATGCCCCGGGCACCGGGGGTTCCGACGCGCGGGTGACGAGGGGGCTAACAGCGGGCTGGGGTCGGAGCCCGCGTGGAGCTTGGAGGGGCCCTTGTCCTGTGCAGCGGAGACGCGAGCGACCGGCCCGATGAGGACCTAGCGTTCATATCGGTGGAGGCCCTCGCGCCAGCACAGGAGAGCCCGAACGCTTGTCGATGGCTTCGGGGGTCGAGGAGGGCGGCGGTAGTTCCACTGGGCCTTCGAGGCAGGATGGGCGGGGTGCGCAAGGACGGGCGGTGCCCTCTCTGCGCTGAGGCATGGGAGCTCGAGCTGCTGAGTGGAGCCCCGGGGGGCCCGAATTCGGCGGGCGAGGAATTCATTGTGTTTAAGACGGTCGGAAGGCTGCGTCGGCGAAGCAGGGCGAGCGTCGGCTGCGGCCGGCAGGGCGACTGGGCCTGGCGCGAGGGGGCCAGGACTGGTCCGCCCCAAGGACGAGGCAGCGCACTGATCCGTCCAGACCAGGTCGGACAGAGAGGCGGGCGCGAGAAGAGAGCGGGGGGGCGAAGTTTGAGGAGAAAGAAGTCGGGGCGACGCCGAGCCGCGGCATCGTGGAGCCATGGCGGGCGCCAGCCAGAGGGCTGGACAATTCGGCTGGAGCCGCCGGAAGCAGCCGAGCAATTCCAGTGTGCTACGCGGCGGAGCGAAAGAACCAAGTGGTGCCTAGGGCCCGCGCAACAGCGTTGAAAGACGCTATGCAGCGTCAGGCAGCAGTGCTTGCCAGTCCTGTGACGACCCCGACTCGTCCCGTGGGATCTAAGGTCGGCAGTGCCTGCGCTGTTTCGTCGCCCGGCAACTATGCTCGCATGAGCGGCTTCGCAGTGGGTACTCACAAGGGCCGAGCGCGCTTCTTCCTGGAAGGGAGCGGCGAACTAGCGGCCGCGTGAGATGCAGAGCAGCGGCGGAACGACGCCAGGCGCGCGATTGGTCAGGCCCGAGCAGGCGATGAGATCATAGTGGGCGCCTGCAGTCTTGACTGCCCCGGCTTGTTCAAGCCGATGGGGTCCGCCATCCCTGGAGGAGTAAAGGTCGCGATCTTGCTGAGGAGGGCAGAGGCCAATGGCCGGGCGACGAGCGAGAGCTGTTGTCGGCAGCTCGCTGAGCTGCGCCGGCTGGCAGACCTAGCATCTGCGCCGTCAAAGGAGAGAGCGCCGCGGAGAATCAGGGGCACTGCGTCGAAGCAGGTCGAGGAGACGATTCAGCAATTCAGGGATATCAGCATGGAGGGCTCATCTACATGGCTCCAATGTTGTTAACTGGGTCAGTGAAGTGGGCGGGTGCTAGCAGGAGCAACGAGGCGTTTGGTCTTGATGTCGAGCTTGTCGGAGAAGGGCTGCGAGAGATGTAAATGCCCAAAAATGCGCCTCGCGAGGCGGCGACGCGTGTGAAGCTCGCGGAGACGCAGACATCTGCGACCGAGCTGACCATTAAGAAAACGAGCGAGGCCAATAACGGGCGCAACGTGCAAGGGAAGAACGACTACGACTGATGCCGAGTGAAGTAATCAGCCAGGAGAGCCTGAGCCCCTCCAGAGAATGTTTCTTGCCTTGGGAGCATGCGGGCGAGCCAGGAGAGCTGCGAGCCTCCTGAGAGAGAGAGAGAGAGAAAGAGATAGAGTGAATGAGTGAGTGAGTGAGGCCACGCACTGTCTGTCGCCGACCTGGCTTTTATGCGCTTGGCGAGTGCGCGAACCTGCTGGCCTTCAGCTTCGACTTTTTGGAGCTCGAGCGCGGCGCACATCGAGGCTGCCCGGGCGGGGGCCTCTGCTTGCATCGGCCGTAGCAGTAATTGGATGCGTGGCTTTGGTTTGCAATCGAGACTTTAGGCTGGTGCGGCCCGCGGTTGGTTGGGCAAGAGCTGCGGCCTCGGCGCTCGGCGATGAAACCGTGAGCCTGCGGCGCCTGGCCGAGTAAGGGGGGCGCAACGCCGTTCGCCTCCGTCCACTGTCCCGTTTTTATACACGAGCCTCTCTGCACGCCGCTGCGGAATCAAAAGCGGCTGTGGATGAGGAGGTGCTTGCCATACTTGGGCAAGCCGTGTCAAGTCCAGGACTGGCGCATTTGTTTGGAATCCGAGTTTTTTCCCCCCCCGCTTCCGATGGGGACGATTGGAACACATACGGTCGAGGGATCGTCAGTAGTGGCAGTCGTGGCGTGTTTACTGTTTCGTATTTCGTGTGCGCGCAGCGGCTCGTTCTTGAGTGCCGCTGTTGTTTTGGCCTCAAGGCCAGTATCGCTGATTCTGGTGAACCTTCGCAGGGCAAAAGAGCGTATCGATATCGAAGATCTCGATACTGGAGGGAACCTCGAGGAACCCCAATACCCTCGAGGTAGGGAAGTCTAAGCCAAACAACTCGGTGTGATTTCAGTGTGTTTGGGGAAGTATGCTGTACCATCGAGACAGCCCGGAAGGGCACTTGGGTGCCATAGAAGGTAACGGCAATCAAGGGCGTTGCAAGAAGGAGGGCGAGGAAAGGAAGGAGGAGGAGGAGCAAGAGGAGGAGGAGGAGGAGGAGGAGGGAAAGGAGGAGGAGGAGGAGGAGGAGGAGGACGAGGATGAGGATGAGGAGGAACAACAATAGGAGGAGGAGGAGGAGGAGGAGGAGGAGGAGGAGGAGGAGGACAAGGAGGAGGAGGAGGATGAGAAGGAGGAGGAGGAGGAGAAAGAGGAGGAGGACAGGGTTGAAAAGGAGGAGGAAGGACGAGAAGGAGGGCTTGGAGGATGCCCGGGCCGACCCAGGTCCACGTGGTGGTCCACCATGTCGTACCAACGCGGCCCTGCGGACCCCCCGCGAGTGAAGGCCCGTCCGCTGCCCCGCAATCTTGTCTCGGGCGGGGGAGGAGCGGGAGGGTGAGGCGGAAGGAAGTAGGGAGGAATGATGATGATGATGATGATGATGATGATGATGATGATGATGATGATGATGATGATGATGATGATGATGCTGATGATGATGATGATGATGATGATGATGATGATGACGATGATGGTGACGACGAGGAAGAGGAGGACGAGGGGCACGAAGTGGAGGTGGAGGAATATGAAACTGATGTTGATGAGGATTGTGGTGATGATGATGATTACGATGCTGCTGCTGATGATGATGGTGATGATGATGATGATGATGATGATGATGATGATGATGATGATGATGATGCGAATGGCGATGATGAGGGTGCGGTGGAGGAAGAGGAAGAGAAGGAGAAGGACGATGAAGATGAGTACTCATAATACTAATCATCATGGTCGTAACAGTAGCAGTCATACGACTAATGCTGCTACTACCACCACTACTACCGATAATAAGCATGTAGGTTATACCCGCACATAGGAACCAAGTAATAACAAGGACTTGTAATCAGCATACGCCAAGTACTACTAATGGGAAATCGCCAAGACGATAATGGCAGTACTATTCATATTAGTCGTTCTACCACCTCTACATATCGGTCCTATTTATGTAATTGTCGATACTTAGAACAGGAGGACTAGAACTGATGCTGATGCTGATGATGCTGATGATGATGACGATGATGATGATGATGATGATGATGATGATGATGATGATGATGGTGATGCTTACGATGGTGGTTATGCTGATCTTGCTAATAGTCATGATGATGAGGAGGAGGAAGAGGAGGAAACTTGAGGAGGAGCAGGGAACGGAGCAGGAGGGGGAGGAGGAGGAGGAGGACCAGTACAAGCATCCAAAACGAATCAGTGATCCAACACTACTTCCTTTAAGTTCTCTTTTCGTACGGCACTACAAGTTTTTTGCAATTGCGTGAAATGCTCGATTGGAAGGCAACCGTTTGAGAATTTTCCATTGTGCCAAAACACCAGTCCTGGGATTTCCACGCCGCGAGTCAACGTGACGGTTGCATCCTGGCAGTCCCAAATCGTGCCAGAACGCGCTCCGTGGGATCTCAACCGTGCGAAGCCTGGTAACGGCTGCAACCTTTTAAACGAATGTGCGCGGCGCCGCGGCCTGTCCCTCCTTCATCTCTCAAGCTGCCGCAAACCTTCACGACGAATGTGCGCGGCGCTAGGACCCGCCCTCTATCCTTGAACCTGTCGCAAGTGTCTACGACGAAGGCACGCGGCTTTAGGGCGATAGCCACATTTTGAATCCGGCGCCCTCCATCCGTGAACCTGTCGCAAGCTTTGTAACAGAGAGCGATCTTTTGAGAACTACCCGCTGTCCGTCCTTGAAGCTGTTGCGAATGTCAAGTTTCGGGGTCGTAAGCAGTGAGGAAGTATCAGGTCAAACTTCCAGCCCGCCTTACCGACGCGTTTGTGGGTGTGATAGGGAAGTGTTATGAAAGAAGGAGGATGAGCTGGCGGAGGAGGAGGAAGAGGAGGAGGATGAGGAAGATATCGCCGAATCGGAGTAGGGGGTAGAATGGGGGAGGGGGGGAACATGGGGAATCCACGAAGTAGATTTCTATAACCAAAAGAGTCATCTGCAGGAGAGGGAGGAGCACAGGGAGGAGGAACCGGAAAGTGGGTTCATGAGGCGGGATTCTGCATGTCGCACTGCGGGGTTCTGGAAAGGAGGGGGGGAGAAACATAATGATAATCAGGGCAATTATGAAGAGGATGATTAGGATCCAGCCGCCTGCGGCAACTCACGCCGCCGTGCCAGTCCAACACTCCGTGTGGCGATTGTTCGAGGAGCGGACAGGAAACCGTGATGTGCGACACGTCGTGCCGCGAGGCAGGGGGAAATGTGATACGCCCTTCCGCGTCGTGTCGGGATGTTTCTCGTCGTGTTCGTCGTCGTCTTCTTCCGTTCCTCTCCTTCCCTCCTCCTCCCTTGGGGCCTCTTGGGGGCCTCTTGGGGCCTCTTGTGGCCTCTTCTGGGCGTTCTGGGGACCTCTCGGGCCTCTTGGGGACTCCTTGGACCATCTCAGGGCGCTTTTGGACAGTCTGGTGGTGATGATGAAGATGGTGGTAATGATGATGATGATGGTGATGGTGATGGTAGTGGTGGCGATGATGACGATAATGGTGATGATGATTGCGATTTTTACGATGATGGTGATGATGGTAGTGGTGGTGATGATGATTGCGATGGTGCAGATGATGAGGATCATGATCTTCACGTGTAGGACGTGGTGGATCATGATGAAGATGAGCTGGATGTACGAGGATGAGGAAGTGGACGGCGGATGTAGACGCCGAAGAGGAGGTGGATGACGAAACAAATGATGATACGGATGAGGGTGATAATGACGTGAATGTTGAGGTGGTGGTGATGGTGGTGATGGTGATGAAGATATTAATGAACATGATGACACAAATGGTGGTGGTGCGAGAAGAAGGAGGCAATAAGAGCATGATGATGCGGAGGAGCAGGAGACATAGGAGTGTTTCGTATTCGTATCAGGGGGTGGGGAAAGAGGAAGGATGACGATGATGAGAGGTTGCTGATTCACCGATGATCGGCGATGGTATGTTGTGATCCTTGGCGGCGTCATCTTTCGAGTTTCCGAGCTTGTCATGTGAGGAGGATGTAGGAGAGGAGGTGGCGTATTGGTGAACGTGGGATGGTGGGGAGAGGGAATCGTGAATACCAGGGATTGAGGGGATGAGGGGCCATGATAGGGATGGAGGGAGATGGGCGGGATGCACGGGGTCATGTGGGCGAACATGAAGTGGCTGGGAAGACGAGAGCGATGTTACGTGATGAGGTGGACGGGATGTGATGAGCGAGACGGCCTGTAGGACCAGGGGGAGGGCGAGGCGGAGGAGGAGGAGGAGGCGCAACAGCAGCAGGATATCTCATTCCTACCTCCGTCCTCCGTCATCTACCTTCCTGCCTTCCTCGCTCTCGTCCTCCCTCTCTCTCTCTCTTTCTCTCTCTCGCCCTCTCTCTTACCCCCTCCCTCTCTCTGACATTATCTTTTCTCTTCTTCTCTATCTATGATGCCCGAGAAAAGCCCCAATCATAATTTTTTCAGGGCAAAAGGGCTATGTGGCTGTGGGGCACAAGGGCAAAACGACCATAGGACTAAAGGGCAAAAGGGCTATAGGGCTATAGGACAAAAAGGGCTATAGGGCTGTAGGGCAAAAAGGCTATAAGGCAAAAGGGCAAAAGGGCTACAGGGCTATAAGGACCTTGGCACCCAGGCACCCGGGCACCGCTGAAATCGGCGGCGAACCTCACCCTGGCACCCGGGCACGCGGGCACCCGGGCACCTGGGCGTGCCGCCGAAATCGGCGCTTCAGCTAACCTAACCATATGAATCCGCTAGGACCCCTACAGAGGCAAGCTCTGATTGGGGAAGAAACACAATCATGATACCGGAGAAAAAACCCAATCAGATTCTTGTTAGGGCTATAGGGCTATTGGGCTATAGGGCTATACGGCTATCGGGCTATAGGGCTATAGGGCTATCGGGCTATAGGGCTATAGGACTGTGACCTATAGGGCCATAAGGCTATAGGGCTATGGGGCTCCATATGGGCTATGGGGCTATAGGGCTATAGGGATATAAGGCTATTAGGGCTATAGGGATATAAGGCTATAGGGCTACAGGGCTATAAGGCTATACGGCTATAGGGCTATAGGGCTACAGGGCTACTGGGCTATTGGGCTATTGGGCACCCCCGGGCACCCGGGCACCCCCGGGCACCCGGGCACCCCCGGGCACCCCGGCACCCGGGCACCCGGGCCCGGCCACCGAAATCGGCCACCTGGGCACCCCCGGGCACCGGGGCACCCGGCCCCGGCCACCGAAATCGGCCGCCGACCTCACCTCAGCTTTATATCCGCTAGGACCCCTACAGAAGCAAGCTCTGATTGGGGAATAATCTTTTTAGGGCTATAGGGCTGTGGGGCTATAGGGCTATAGGGCTATAGGGCTTTAGGGCTATAAGGCTACAGGGCTATAGGGCTGTAGGGCTAAAATGCTAGATGGCTATAGGGCAATAAGGCTATAGGGCTAGAGGACTATATGGCGATTGGGCTATAGGGCTATAGGGCTAGAGGGCTATAGGGCGATTGGGCTATAGGGCTACAGGGCTATAGGGCTATACGGCTATAGGGCTATAGGGCTATGCTATAGGGCTGTAAGGCTATGGGGCTATATGGCTATAGGGCTATAGGGCTATTCTGGACGCTTCGCGTATCCTACCAGCCCATCCAGAAACGATGTCCAGGCGAGTTGAGAGGTGATGAGGGAAGTGCGGGAGCAAAGAGGGGGACGGCCGAACCGTGTGAAGGAGAGAGAAGGCGAAGGAGAAATTTGGATGGATGGATGAGGGAGTAGGGAGAAGGAGGATGAATAGGATGAGGAGGAGGAGGAGGAGGAGGCGGAGGGGGAGGAGGAGGATGAGAAGGGATAGGAGGAGAAGGAGGAGGAGGAGGAGGAGAGCAAGCAAAAGGGCCAGAGTTCTCTTGGGTGCTTCTCGGAGCCTCTTGGGGTATCTCTTGAGCGTCTTGGGACGTCTCGGGGGTCTCTTGGCGGTCGTGGGGGACTCTTCGGCGTCTTGAGTGCCTCGGGGGGGGCCTCTAGGGACCGCTAGGGATCCTTTTGGGGACCTCCTGGGGGCCTCTTGGGGGCCTCTTGGGGCCATCTTTGGGCCATCTTGGGACCTCTTGGGGCCTCCTGGACGCTTCTTGGGGCCATCTTGGAGGAGATCGATCAAACAAGAGGGGAGCTTTAATTAGCGCCCCCCCCCCCCCAAGAGGCCAAAATGGGGCCAAAGCCCTAGTAAAATCAATGATTTTGGCT